ATGTAGACATAGGACAAATATAGAATTCTATTTGTTTTGTAGTAAATTAGTAACTATAAAGTAATTATAGCAAGTGCAGTGATAAAGGAAGTTATAGGACAATTCGAATGGGTGTCTAAAAGAAGAGTCTTTATTAAAAGTTGTGAAAAAAGGACAGAATGTAATTTAAAGCACTTTTATAACAAGTCTTGTTTTTTGATTATTGCTTTAGATATTAGAAATGAAACATAAAAGAAAAGTGAACATTATTGACTGCGTAAAAAAATGATACTCGTCAAACACGGAGTATGCGTGGCTGTTACAATAAAGAATTAAGCTGTAACGAAATGACTGTTCTATTTTTTCATTTTATCACTAACATTTATTTATTTACTTAAACATATATAGTTTGCATATGAAATAAGAAAATTTATGAAACCAATTATTTAGAAAAGTGATTAGTCAGTTTAATCTGTTGTTGTTGAATGATATCGAGTAAAGCAAGGTACAATACATAACGTTCCGCAAGTCGAACACCAATGTCTTGATTCTAGAACAACTACTTTGTTCACACTATACACAACTTCTTCATAACAATTATTTATATTTCTTTATCTGCTCGTTTTATTTCGTTTTGGCCTCCAAATACTCCAAACATCTTGAAATTTACAAATACATTTTAGTTCTCACAAAAACTGCAATTTAAATAGCAAATTGTCACTACTTTTTACGCGTGATGAGTATACTCGGCATAACAAAAAATCTTGCCACCTCCATGACGAGTATACTTGTCGCAACACAAAATCTTTCCATCTTTTTGTTAAAAACAGCTATCTGGTTAATAGAATCACAGATGCCTACGCCCGCCACTGTCAAACTACTATCGCGCGACCAAGATTAATCGTTTCATATAGAACCCGCCCTTGTTCTTATCCGTTCGAACCCGGAACTTTTAGTCGCGGAAAAACGCGGCCAAGCAACGGAGACGTGCGGCGTTAATCAGTATCCTTGAAGGATCTTCGAAGCATGCCCGCCTGCCCGCCTGCCCCATTGTCCCGTTGAAAAAGAGGATGCTGGTCCATCGACGGGGGTGGGAGACACGGATGTCGTTCTTCCGTAGCACAGGAGCCAAGCTGAAACTCTTACCCTTTGTTCGGGGCTCGCGCCGGCCGCGTACAAGGACGAGGAATCCTTGATAATAATTCCGGAAAAGAATTCGCTTAAAGCGGCGTATCCGATTCCTCGGCTGCCTCTGTTTTCCACCGTTCCAACCGGTAATCGGATCGCGTCGTCCCCGTAGAAAGCGCCCGGCCGCTGCCGTGCTGTCCTTGCACTTGGAACGCTGAAATTTATACGGCTTTCATTCCTCCTCTACTTTAAAGTAGGTTCGGTATTTCACTTGTGCCCGTTCTCTAACTTCCTATCTTTCTCTCTGTCGTTTAACAGAGGCTCCTTCCGTTTTCTTCGATGGGTTTTCACTCTTCGCGGCGGTAGAACCGAGGCTTCATCAAGGTCGAGTCAATGGTCCGCGATATATGAAGCTATTTGGTGTGTCGGGTGGGATAAGGAATTTTGCGTGAACAATGATTGGTAATTAATACTAAAATTACTGAGCAATTAGAGATTTGCAATGTTTTCGGTGAAAATTCGAGCAATACTTTTCTTGAAATTCGAAAGTTCTCCTAGTCTTGTATCTGTACAAATATATGAATATAATTGAAAGTCGGAAAAGAATTTAATTTAAACACTTAAAATAGAAATTCTGAAGTGAGTCAATTTGTAGTTTAGTGTTAACCACTTTTCTTATATCCTATCAGACTCGCGATGAAAATTTTAAATTGAATTCGACAAATCTAAATGTTTCCTATTTATTTATAATGTAAATTAAATATTGCTTTTCTATTATAGATTTTTTACCTTTAGAGTAAACGTAGACACAGAGTGAGTACAAGATTTTTTTCATTTTCTACTAAATCATTAACGTAGTTTTATTGAATATACTTGTGAAAGAAATCATCAAGTGGATTATTTCCCCTTTTATTTCGTGGTAAATAAATCCTGAGCAGCAAAGTGCATCATTCTCAACATGTTAATTGAAACAGACAATTTACAGCACATGACAACTGATTGACGGTAACGGTAGAAAAAATCGGATTCCTTTATCGAAAGGACGGTTTTCTGTAGTAGTTTCCGCTTTATTTTGAAGTTCTCTAAAGAGCACGTCAGGTTGATTGACTGCCTCTCACGTAACATCAATTTGTTCGAGTTACGGTCGCTAACACCGCCGAAAGTGAAACCCCAGCATGCAAAAAGGTTTATGCGGATTTTCATGCTAATGTGTTGTCGGTCTTATTCTACTGTTTTTATGCAAAGTAACTTTATAGTGTTCATATAATTGATCAAAATGTTAGACCATGTTTAATTATAAAATAATTAGTTATACATCTTACTATTATATTTTTATTACTACATTTTTATTACACGATTTTTATTTAAATGTTCTTCTAAAGTATAGTTTTCTATGCAATCTTTCAGCATTGTCATTATAAACCAATTCTTCGTAGATTTCAAATTTCATAAATAAATCCATAAACTGCAACTTTAGACTAATATTGCACCAGTTGTAATAGTCAATATTTTAGCGAATCTTAAAGAAACTACTCTAAGATTATTAGATTTTGCTCACATTCAAATTTTGCACTGAGAAGAGAAATAAAAGATCTAAAAAATGTTATAACATTATTCATTTCGCTGAGGGTACTATAAAAATTGATTGGAGTTGCTGATAGATTGCAAAACCATCTGGACTGCTAAGGGTTAATAAGTTTTAAAAGTACCATGGATAAAAAATGAATAGTTTTTTTGTAAATCACTGTTTAATTTTGCGTGAGAGAGTAAAAGAACGAGATATCGATTGTTTTTCCAATAAACTCCGTCTTAACATGTTGTATGCCATGGGGGTCACCGGCGACCCCCAACTAAATCGAATTACTATAGATTATTTGAATACATTTGTATATTACAAACAATGCTACCTAATGCGACGACATTGAGCAAGATGAGCGAGCAATAATAATAACACAATTCAATTAAATTACTTGAAATTATTGTGATAATATTACAGCTTTTCCGTTTTGTGTATTTTGCTGTATGAAATCGTACGGCGTTCAGCGTGTTAAAGAGAATGGAACTAATTGTTTATCGAATTGTAACCCTGTTTTTCAAGGTCAGAGGTAATTTCGCGGCAGCTTCTTTACCTCGATCTCCATCGAACCGAAGGTGTAGAATCACGCTAGGACAAGGAAATACTATCATTTACTTCCACCCTGTACATAAATGGGATACTTACAAATATATGACGCCGGTAGCGAACATGTTGAACTATAAATCTTCACCGTGAACCTCATTCATCATTATACAGCGATTTCACTGTCTCGGTCCAATGGCACGCGCATATGAATTTCCTTTTCCCAATCGTCATTTAATATCTCCAAACATTTTTGCAAAGCAGTCGCAAGGTTTCCCAAGCCCTGCCTAATTTATACAATTTCACCGGGGGAACAATTACCTACACACGATCCTGCGGCGCGCGTGAATGCATTACGACCGCGGGTGCCCCCGGTGCTTTCTCTTTAACTTGAACTTAATTGCGCCAGGCGAACGTAGCAGCCTCGCGGATTCCCTCTCGACTGTTATACCTCGGGGCTCGGTCTCATCTGTTACGGTTCATGTAATAAATTCGGCTACTATTAATAATTATCAATTAATATTAATAATACCCGCGTTTTTTGATCAATGTGATTAACACTTAATGTACCTGCCCTTTTACTACCGATCGTATTTTTATGAAAGGAATATAGATGTGTGTCGATTTAACGTAATCTAGACTTACTTAACATGACCATCATTAATATATAACAAATCAATATTACAGAAAACCAATTTAGTTTAGAATATAACAATATCTTGAATATTTATTAATTTGAGTACTTATTATCGTTCATCAATACATCCACTCCCACAATATTCGAACAAAATTTGATTCGAAAAATTATTTTCGGATAATGCCTCAAAAGTTCTGATATACCTTTAATCGTAACCTATCGTTTTTTAACCGGTCCTATATCGTGAGCGTACGGTAACGGCACCTAATATGGAACACTCGATTTGAAAAGCTTGTCATAACGAGAGATGTGCATTTTTTAAAATAAAACTTGCATCAAAACACAAAGAAATTAATAAACATTCATACACTGATCGATAACAATGCAAAAAATATGAATGCCTTCAGATCACGGTAAAGAATGTAAATAGAGTCAAAAACAGTGATTTGAAAAAATGGCTTCTAATATGGAACACCCAAGTAATTTGTAAATGAAACTCATTTTCATCACGATAAATGAATATTTATGGCATTAAGGAGAATAAATAAACGAATTTTTCACTTTCTGAATTTATGCCATGTTAATTTTTTAATTTATTTTCTTTTATACATTGGAAATATCAATCGGGGCCACTATATTCTTCGTGAACACAATGAATCAGATATATCTTTTTCTATTGTCACCATTTTTTTAATTGCCACCATAAACCAAAAATATAAAACAACTGATGTTCAACTATTCGTATGACTGTTTTCTTACCTGGCAAGGTTATTTACCTACTTTCTTACTTTATATTTATATCTTTTGTTTCACAGTTACTTTATTTATATATTTACTATTTTTCACTGGTTTGTTACCAATGAAGTGTTTTCTATACTGACTGATATATCAAGCTATTTATTTTTCGAAATATTGTGGTGTTCCATATTAGGCACCGTTGCCCTAATTGCGACGGATGTCAACGGGAAGCTCACGATGGAGGTCTCTTGGTCTCCAAGAAGCTTCGCCCGTGACATTCATGAGAGCCATCCGCGATCCGACGCGTGCACCAGTGCGGTCCGCGAAAATGCAACGTCACAGTGTAATGTTGCTTCGCTCGGTGTTCGCTAGTTGACGATTCATCGTAAATAATTTCAGACATGCGCGAGGGTGAGTCGTGACCCAGGACGAAGAAGAGGACCTGAACATGATACGATCTAGAAGGACTATCTCCGTGGATTTGCCGTGGATCCTTTGTCTCGCGGCTGCGATTTTGGTGGTTCCCGGTGGACTTGACCATGTGACAGGTATGTCATTTAGTTGAATAAGTAGTAAATACACTGCGGATCTTTATGAAAATTCAAATTCTTCGGAATAGTATTAAAGAAATAGAATTAACTGTTTATCTACTGCAAGCATGTTAGCAGGTTGACTTCTAGTGATGTTTTCAGTTGTTAACTGAACTGCTGACATTGTATTTCGAATATTTATTATTAAAAATAATATAGCAGTGGAATATTTAATACCGTTATTTAATTTTAAGAATAATCTATGATTTTTTTAATATTAATAAATACACTCAGAATCGGAGCGGTAGTCAACTGGCTAATCAGCATTTCCATTGCGAATACTTAAGAAGCGATAACCTATTAAAATTACGCTGATTTAAAACAAAAGAAATCAGAACTACGTAATGAGATGTAATACTTTGATTTTAAGTGAGCTTTTTTCTTGCTTTTTAAAGAACTTATTATAGATAAATGAACCTATAACTGTGGCATATAAAGGATATACATTGAGACTTCTGTGTGACCCAACTTTGTATACTAAGAGTTAATGAATCTCGAGTAAAAATAAGCCGACCTATATTCGGTCGTTCTTGCCAATCTACGTTAATTATAAAGATATTTAATATATAATTTACCGATGTCTGGAACGGGCACGAAAGTTTGATGTCATTAAGTCGAATGTGCCTAATATTTTAACTGAATTTTTTTTAGAAGTTGCCTTTCTAAATGACAGACTATAAATTTAATAATTATTTTTAATCACAAAAGAAAAAGATAACAAATGTTCATATTTAAAGAAGAAAGAATACATGAATGGTAAAGTGATTTGATTGCAAATTTCATTGTCAACTTACGTTCAAATCGTTTGTACAGAAATTATTGTCAATATTTGCCAATTAAAAATGTTGTGTTGGATTTATTTACTGCAGTTTTGATTATTAGCAAGTAATGTTATGATTATGTGTAGAATCTGCAGGACAGAATATATTTTATTATTCAAACGTAACAAAATGTAATGAGTAAATACATTAAGCAATGACAACGTAGTCATTTAGTAACATTAATTTGACAAGACATAATTATAAATCCTCATAACTTCACTATCCATTCAATCAATAAACAATAAAAAGGTACAATAACAAGATTACACAACTCGTGATAGTTAACAAAAGAACATAAAATTCGTTCACACGTCGATTTAGTTGTTCGAATAACTCTCTATAAAGCGGTGTATCGTTCAACATTGTTATTGTTATTGCAGACGGCACGGAAGCTCTCGTTACGCATGAAAAAATAAAAGAACCGAAAAACTCAGTTTCCTGTAACTTCTCGTACATTTCGAACAGGTATTCTGGCTGCGAATTATTAAAGCGGAAGGAACAGCTTGCAATTCGCCGACTGTTCTTGTTTACCGATGAAAGAGTAACTCACCTGGGGGTAGTTTACGGCACGCATAATGAGAGGAAAAATAATGAAAATAATGCAACGTCTCGCCTCGCCTCGCGTTTCTCCTCTCATCGCTTTACCTAAGGTAAACACGCCTTCAGATAAATCTATCTGCGACCTACTATCGCGACACATTCAGAAACGGCGTTCCTCGCAAAGATGGACCGTTCATTCCCATCGTTACCATTTCAGATCGTGAGATCGGGGTCTCGTTCGTATTCAAACCGCAATTTGTTCACCGTTAATGAACCTTTTCTCGCTTGTTCGGCCGCGAATGGATTAATTAATTCGATGTCTTGTTAGGTGTCAAGCACCGATAGCAGTTATCTTACAGTTAGATTGGGATGCTGCAAAAAAAATTACTGGGACAATGACATATAAAATCTTTTTCAAACACATTTTACATTATAAATAGCGTTTCGGTAATGATCAAACTTAAATAAACAGAGTAGAATATAAAATTGGTTTTATAATGAAATTAGAATATTTTATATATAAAATTGGTGATGGTTGTTGATGAATAGTACTTTCATTTTGTTAATTGAAAGAGGAAAGGAAGTTTTGTGATACTGAAACACTTAACAAGATTACAGTGAATTATTAGAATTTGGATTTATATGCAAATGGAAGTTTTTTATGTAGCAATTTATAAAAACTAGGAATTAATGAAAATATATTTATTTTATTATTAGGCGCATTATCGTGGCAGTAATATGAAAAGTATTTTAAATTTCTATCGAATTGTTCATCTATCTCGTTATATCATTGTCATTCAATAGTTAGTTTCAATGAGTCTCACAATAGATATAGCTACTAATTCTTTTATTAGAATTTATTTTGTGATCTATTTTACTCGCAGCTAGTTCATGCACTTAATGAAGCGTATTTAAATTCTTTGACATGAAATAATATGATACGTCAAGGGCGTAAAGGAACTTTGATCGTAACATAAAAGGTGTATTTTGCTTTGACGTTCCGGAATCTCGAGGATCCTTTTTCATCCTCGAATCAACGAAGACATTCTTGAAGGGAGGAAGACAAGAAGCGTTGGAATGCTGCCGACAATGCGTTGTCGCATAAACTGGTGAAGCCACTTATACGCATGTATACTGCAACATAAGTTTTAGACCAGTTTCCAGTGAACTGGGGATGAATTGTTTTGTGACTTCCTTTGCATTAATAGTCGCTGTTTTAAAGAGTTCATAAAAACTAAGTTAAATGTACCAGTAATTATCTAGTTAAGGTTATTAAGGACGGTATATTTATATTATAAATATTTTTATACTGTAGGTTATTTATAATATAAATATGCTTGTATGTAAGTATTAATTTATATTTATTATAAATACAAATATGCTCTAGTATTAAATATTTATATTTATATAACCTTAACTGATTAGTTATTGGTACACTTTATGTCGTTTTAAAAGGTGATGAAATAGCTTTGCTTCATTAATTTTTATTTAATCGTACCATACCTTTGTTTCAAGCAATAAAGAATGGTAAGCTAGTTTTCTTTTATTGAAAATTGTAATTGATAAGAGATCTTTATATCTTGTTACACATTATTGATTACAGTTTCAAACAAAATTTGATCATTAAAGTATTTTTCTGCAAAGAAATTGAGATTTAATTCTGTTGTAATAGAGTTTATAGCTACTTTCTATTCTATCAGTGACTAATATCGGGGTTTATAACAGCTTTGAATTGTTAGGATCGCAGGCCTGAATGAAAACTTGAGTGAACATTGGTAGCAGTTAATAGTAAGCTAGATTTTTAGTACTACGCATTTAATTTATGAATGATCAAGCTTTACGTACGAATTTATTAGATTTTCCTTATATCACTTCTATTATTATAGGTTTAAAATTTCAGAAATTGGTATATTAATATTTTCCAGATTACTAATATTTTTCACATTACTGACAATAACTTCCTATAAATTCAATAAGGTTACGAAGTTTTATATGTGGTTATTCGTGTGTTATGGTAACCAAGGCAATGACTAATCAGAAAGCTATCGATCCTTTTCGCAGCATTAACTTGTTGAAACATTTTATGAAAAGGGGTTCCAAGCTAGCAAATAACTACACCCTTATATATTCGTTTTAGAAGAAACGAAATATAAAGCAGAAGATCACAGTTATGCACTCAGAAAAAATCAGAAGTTTTCATTTACTAGTTATCAACAAAAAAATCCTCAAGCTTATCTATGTTTAGAACATATCTAGGTGGTGACCCGCTTAAAATCTCGCATTATGCTTACAATAAAATTGAATTAATGAATTGTATTCTGGTTAAACGCGGGGCAAATACACCTATACCATACTCTAACCAAATCTTAAAGCAAAACGAAGAAGAATTACACGTTCATCTTGCAAAATAAATAATTCGTCATTGAAAGAACTATTATTGTAAGTTTCAAAATGACACGTATACCTATCGAATACAATTAACAGGTTAAATGATTCACTTCGTATTACTCGATTCAGAAGAACAATGGAACCGATTCGTGTGCACGGGAGCCAGAGTTACCGTTCAAACGTCGAGTGACAATAACGGCACGCGTTTTCTTCCGGCGAACAGTAGGACTTAACGGCGAAGGGTGTCTCTGACTTATGACCAGTGATGTATTAATATGTCCAGCGATACGCTTGTGTCCGCGGCATAACTCTGTCGAACCGATGGAAGCACGGAAACGTGCAAAAAGCCTGGCGACCTTGTCCCACTTCCGTCGGAGCTTTGGGGAACGAGCTTACTTGTGTAAATGCTACACAACACATGCAGCAATCGCGGACGGTGGGGCGTACTAGTCGGGCCGTTTCGTTATGTAATCGTTTCGTTATGTACACTGGGTGTTTCAGAATTGTTGACGATGGTAGGCAGCAGCTGTTCCGATGCTCGGCTCCGAAAATGACGACGCCGTCGCCACGGCCATTTTATTCGATCGGCACGGGGGATGGGATCGGTGCGCGGAAACTTCGTGAAATATTAACTTGTTTGCATCTTTGCCGGGTGTATGCACTCTGACGACGATGATCGAGTGAATTTGGTGCTTATAACGCGATAACTGGACGAACTTTACGCGTCGCTGATAAATACTGCGGTATTCAATGTGAAGCAGAGGGGTGTTTATAAGGGTTGAAGAATGGTACTGATTTATTGATGGAGATTATTGAGAGTTTTAAGAGCAGAAATTGGATTTTGTTTAAGTGTTGGTTTTTATATGATTTTAGGGAAGTTTTATTTGGTATAAAGATTCGATATTTGGTGATAATAGTGATATGAATTATGTAGGTTATGATTAGAATTAATTGATAGGAATGTTTTAGTGTTTTAATTATTGTATTATCATTGTTATATTGTTACTTTTGTTGTTTACTATTGTATTACTAGTTTTATTATTATATTATTGTTATTACTATCGTATTAGATTATGCAGGTACATACTTATTTCTTCACTGTTATTTATTCACATATAGTATTAGTGGCATGCTAGATTTTGTGGATGTTCGAAATATTGGTACTTGCAATTTGATATTGTACAAGAAAAATATGCTTTACGATAAAGA